TTCGAAAATGTGGAGTGTTGACTGTGGCGTGTAGCGTGCGTTGAAAGGCATCGATAATATTGGTTCACCTTTACGGACGGTGAAACGGGGAATATTGTGCAAGGTGTGTGCAGTGTGAATAATGCGATGCATCCTGTTTGCGAAAACACTGGTATTCGTTGTGGGCCGGTTTCGGTAACCGATTGTCGATGGAACTTTACAATCCGACATTGTAGTCAAGGTAAAATTACATTCGACGCGATCATCCGTGAGTGGGTACATTTCAGCGTATGCGCGGCGTGCAGAAAAATAAAAGTGCATGATCTCCTGGTGATATATACGACTACGCATGGGTAGCGTTGCCAAATCTGCATATATGCTCCACCACGGCGATAACTCGTGATATCGGATACTTGATACGTGTCAATGGAAACAGGGGAGGTTTTCGTTCCTCATCTACTTTATACTTCTACGGATTGATCCTTGCCCCGCCGCGGTGGTCTAGTGGCTAAGGTACTCGGCTGCTGACCCGCAGGGCGCGGGTTCGAATCCCGGCTGCGGCGGCTGCATTTCCGATGGAGGCGGAAATGTTGTAGGCCCGTGTGCTCAGATTTGGGTGCACGTTAAAGATCCCCAGGTGGTCTAAATTTCCGGAGCCCTCCACTACGGCGTCTCTCATAATCATATAGTGGTTTTGGGACGTTAAACCCCACTTATCAATCAATACGGAATGATCCTTAGAAAGTGTCAATGCACGTTAGAAGTTTGTGTATCAGGTCTAAAGGAGCGATAGATACGAAAACACGTTATAGGTGTCAAATGCAGCAAGTTAACTGTGCCAGATAATATTATATATTATTAAGATGTCGGGTTTTACATCACATGAATTTTCACCGGGTTATTGACAAACGCCGCGGCAGAACTTCACTTTGATTTTCACGAGGATATGTTAATCTCAGCCTAACCCACGACAAGAAGTGTTTTTTTTTTGGTCACTCATCTCCGACGAAACTTTTGGGCAATGAGTGAGAATGTTATCCGTGACGTTGCGCACAGCAGCTCAAAATCATGCTGCCGCCAATGCTGTACCTCATTTAAAACTGCATTGCACATGCCACGATGGAAATTGAGTAAGTTTACATCCATGCCATGCAAATACTTCTCAAAGTGCCAGTAGTCGTGTACAATGAAAACGTTCGCTTTCGAAAAAAAATCACATTTTTTTATGGCTGCCATCTACGTGGGTGAAGCCCACTGCGTGCTAGTCGCGTCTCTCAGTACTCTAAACAAGGTTTCTCCATCCATTCAACTACGACGAGCAAATTCTCACTCTATGAGCAGTGACCCTTCCGCGACCCCCTTCTTTCAAAAGCTGTGACTTTAGGACATAGCAATGTAGAAATTTTGTCGAAAGAATGCAGACACGCAGCTCTGCTATGCAGATAGATGCCGCCGGAGGAACCCTCTTGTCAACCAGCACCTGCTCCGAGAGAGGATGTAGGGGGCGGGGTGCCTGCAGTGACGTCACACTGTTTACAAATAGGGAGAGGTCTATTCTATCTGCGTTACGCTTTATAACATCCGAAAAAAAAGGCTCAATTTTTTAGCGATTCGCAGGCTGCTCTGTCGTCGCTGCAAAGTGATAAAAAACTCTTTCAGAAGTCTTCTCTGTTATAAGAGACCTTAAAAGAACACGCAAATGTAAGAAACATGAGCCACGTGATCGCGTTTAAACGGATTCCAGGTTGATTGATTGATATGTGGGGTTTAACGTCCCAAAACCACCATATGATTATGAGAGACGCCGTAGTGGAGGACTCCGGAAATTTAGACCACCTGGGGTTCTTTAACGTGCACCCAAATCTGAGCACACGGGCCTACAACATTTCCGCCTCCATCGGAAATGCAGCCGCCGCAGCCGGGATTCTAACCCGCGCCCTGCGGGTCAGCACGAATTCCAGGTCACTGCAGCATTCCAGGAAACGCTGCAGCAGACGTCGTGGCAAATAGGACCCACAATAACGAAGGGAGATTTGTTCTGCCAATTTCACACACTGAAATGCGTCTGCTCCTCAGAGAGATAACCTGACGCGTCACCAAGGACAAATGGTGCGACGAAAAATCTAAAAGTTCAGACTTATACTTATTATACCTTTGCACAAAACTAAGCATCTCACCAGAGTTAAGAGAACATAGAAGATTTGAAACATCGGTTTACCACCTACGGCATGGTACAGCACTTACGCGACACTTCCTACACAAGATAAACCGTGCGCCTATATAGTACATGCAGAGTGCTCCTGCGGCCACCCCAAGGAAGATGTACGTCACCTGCTTCTGGGGAGCACGAATTATGAAAGTCAAAGACAAGTATTACGAGGAAGTTTGCAACTTTTGGATAGGAGGCCCTTCACCGTGACGAAAATACTTGGTCCATGGCCAACTGCAGGTCTTCAGAAAAGAGCACTAGTTGCCTTCAAGACGTTTCTTGAGGAATCAAATATTTTGTGGAAATATTGACTTACCGTATGCGATGTCGTCTTCATGCAAAAAAGAAGTATGTAATATTCATATAGTGGTTTTTAATGTGTTGTAATAACTTTTCCCAGTGTGAACTGACTTTGTATGTGGAAATTGTGTACATATGCATCTATCTATTAGGCGAATATGAACTGCCATGTGAGGAGAACTGATCTTGTGTGTGAGACATATGAACGTATTAACTGTATGTGAACTGACCCGTGAAGTTTCCTTAATGTGTACTTTCACATCGTATGTTGTACAGACACGCATTTTGTGCCCTTATTGTTGATCGCACGGCATATCTTGGCTACTAAGAGAAAAAGAGTAGCCGGTGCCACCGTGCATAATGGCACCAACCTCTCTTATTTCATCATTTTAATTAAAAAAGCTGCGGCGTTAATCATTTTTGGAGAAGTAATCGCGAGCTTCGAAAATGATCGCTTTCGACCTCAAGCGATATAAACTAACCTTGCAACAGTGAAGGCCAACGCTCACAAGGCTTCTAGCACATTGCATGATCTTTGAAGTGCAACAGCTGAATAAAGTTGCACATTGAGAACTCCAACCGGCTAACCTAACCCAACCTATAGCTGTCATACGAGTGGTGATGCAGTCGAAACGAGGCGCCGCCGTGCTTAACTACCCCCAGCAGCCCCATAGAAAAGCACGTGACTTTCGCCACACTTTTTGCCTCTCCTTAGCTTTCCTTCCTCCATGCCCTGCGGTAACGAGTAAGAATTTCACCTTACGTGAACACTCTGTTATTCCCGTGGCCGCACCAGGACACGTACGACTTTCTCGTCCTCAGCCTACCCGGTTCGTTGGTAAGGTAACTACTTGGACGACCTTAACGAGATAGCACTCAACGAAGAGAACTTGTGGTCAATGCCAGATTTAATGGCCGTCACCATTAAATTCCTTAAAGTTCAAAGCTCAAAGTTTCTTAAGATAATCCGATCGAGTGTGCACTCGCGCATAATTGTGTGCGCTTGGGCATAGCCTCCTATATTTTATATAAGAGGCTATGGCTTGGGCAGTTTCGCATTTAGCTGCAGACCCCACATTCGAAGTTACCAGTTACTACATACAACTTCCCATGCTTCTCATTGTAACCTTATGTACATGAAGGGAATCAACAGTATTTAGACACAGGAGCGGTGCCAGGATTTTTTTCCGGGGCGAGGCACAGACGACAATTGTGTTCCTTCTAGGAGGCACAGAACTTATGTGTTGTGTTTTGTCTATGCTTGCTATAGAGGGGGGGGGGGGTCCAAGGGAGGCTGACGAAAGTTTTGGGGGGCTCCAGCCTCTCCTTTCCTGTGCCCTATTCTGGCAACGCCCCTGTTGTGACAGCTTTCTTCGTGACCTGACACCGTGGTGGTGTAGTGCTAAGGCACTCGGCTGCTTACTTTGCAGGTCGCGGAATCAAATTCCGGTCATGGCGGCCGCATTTTCGATGGAGGTGAAAATGCTTGAGGTCCGTGTTTTGTAGGTGCACGTTGAAGCACCCCAAATTTCCGGAGCCCTCCACAACGGTGTCTCTCATGATCATATGGCAGTTTTGGTATGTTCAACCCCAACAATGATTATTATCACTATATTATTCGTGGCCAGCAAGTTTAGCCACATCGCGCGGGCATTAGGTCTTAAAAGAGTCTGTTAAAATCCCGTGCGGCGCTCTCCACTGTCCAAAACACAAGTGTTGTGAGCTTTATTAGAGAACGCACACACGACCTGTTTGTTGGTAACATTGTTCAAGTAAGCGTGACGAGCTCGGAAAAGTTAACCTTCTATATAAGTCCAAGAATTGTTCGGAACGAAAGTGGAGCACTCAGTAAAAACGCTTATCTTGTGATACAAGCATCAAATTGGCCCATTTTCACGGCATCTAGCGGATATAGCTTTTTCTATTCTGTGGTAACCCAAAATAAGCCGCAGCACCCTGTTTCTTATCTAAGGTGATCGCTTACAAGATAACCGAGGGGCGCCTCACGTTTTGTATATTGTCACTGTATACAAAAAGTTATGCCTAGGCAGAATTTTTTTTGGGGGGAAGGGGGGACTTCTGCGATCTTAGAGTTATTGTATATGCTACCTTTAGGTAGCATGCTGTCGCGTAATTGCAAATACAACACAACGCCTGTTCACAGGAGCACTGCACTTCGAACCGAACCGATCACCAGAGACACGAGCTCATCGTCCAGTCTTCTTGTCCTCTCTTATTTCTCATCAAGGCACATATAGGCATAGTGACATATCCCAACCTCGTTCCATGCCCGTGGCAATATACAGTAGCTCTACTTGATCTGAGAAGGGAGGGGGTGGTTAGGGAAATGTGGTCGAGTGTCATTTTGTGTTCGGTATGTTGTGTAAATTTCATGGGACGAAATCTGCACGTTCCCGCACGCAGGAACATGCTTCGTGTCCATGTACGCACTTGGTGAAATATTGTTGACATACGCTCTTCCCACGAAAGCACGCATGGGGCAGCACGAACATCGGAGGTGGCAGTCAGTTTATTGGCGCACAATGATAAAACATGATGCACGAAACATGGCAACGCTCTCGTATATGCACGTGATGTGGTTATATACAGATGCTGGTGGCACACCCGGGCGATCTTAGCCTCGCTTCAAGGTCGATCTATTTACACGGCGGGCTGTTGCACGCGTTCCTAGAGGGGAACCGCCCTCACGTGCACTCCTCTCTTGATCCGCAGCACCAGGGGATTCATGTCTATCTCCGCAGGTTCCTGAGACAGCAATGAATGAATCAATCAATTAATCAATAAATCTGTGGAAATTATTTCTATTTCAAGAAGAAAAAGGGAATGAGACCAGGAAAAAAGTCACACGGTTCCTTATACATCTTCTTAGACGACTAGAAATCGAAAGAAGTCTCTTCAAATTCGAAGTTGATTGTATAACCCCCCCCCCCCCCCCCGAAAGCTTTCCCTCGCATGTTTTGCAGTCTTTCCGCGGTCGGCGCACTTTTGACTAAGTGACGATGCCATGCGATTACGTCTTCAGGTAATGTAACGTTATGTGACGTCATCGAGACATTCATTGTCGGTGATGTGTGACGTCATCGCATGATGCTTTTTGCGTCAACACTTGTTTACACCCTCCCAAGAAAAAATCTTGCTGATGTCCATGGTCGTAGCCCCTATAATATGAACAAATAGTGTACATTACAGTGGAAATAAGTCTTATATACGTTTGTGGATGATTACATACATGTATAAACAAAATTTAGTGATTGTATAGTATGATTAGGTTAATTTTTCTAATACTAATTAGGCGTTCTGAGGCTGATACCGTATATTTTGATTCAAATGCACGTTCAGGGAGTTTCAAAATCATCCCCGGCCCCCACCTTAGCTTGGTGGCTTAATATGAGAACCTTACGGTGCTGCTGAACAGAAAAATATACCTCAACCTGATCAAGGTTGTAGGTGCGTTATAATAACGCCCCTCCATTGATTTTTTTTATTCACATACTGCAGCCCATTAAGGGCTATAGCAGGAGTGGGTGAAAAAAAAACAGAGCAGAGAATTACAAAAGTACCACTTCCGGGAACACATTACAATATAACACACGAACAAAATACAATATACATGGCAATTCCATTCAGTAAAAAAAAAATAAACATCCAATGAATGGGCACTGCGGGGCGTACATATTAACAGAACAAAGAAAGGAACTATTGGTTAGATACGACTTCCAAGAGAAGGCAGGAATCGATTTATCGATGCACTCCTAATCTCACCCGGCAGTAAATTCCATTGTTCTATCGTTCTAGGAAAAAAGCTAAATTTGAATAGATTGGTGTGTGCGTGAAAAGGGGCGAGGTTTAGGGCATGATTATTTCGAGTAACGGTTGGCATAGCATACGTAAGATAGCTGTTATCGGAGAGACGGTTGGCTGAGTGAACGATGGCACGCAAGAATTTGAGCGGCTCGATATCGCGTCGAGTAGAGAGTGAGGTTAGATTTAAAGTAGTAATGGCGGATGTAGGCAAAAAATGGTGGTCATAGCGCCGACAAATGAAGCGGATTGCTTTCTTTGCACAGATTCAATTGGTTTTATTTCTCATTTTTTTTGTACGGACACCAAACGATAGAGGCATAATCAAGAACTGGACGAATTAGTGTTTTGTACATTAGTAATTTAGTTTCATGTGGGGAAGTTCTGAGGGTACGTCTTAGGTAGCCTAGTTTTTTAAGAGATTTGGTGCAGACTGAATTGATATGTTTATACCAGGAGAGGGTAGTGGTGAAAATCACGCCAAGGTATTTATAATCTGAAACCCTTTGGAGCATTAGGTCATTGAAAGAGTAGTTGAAAACGGAAGTCTGCGTTTTGGTAGTGAACGACATCGAGACAGTTTTACGGAAATTGATATTCATTTGCCATGTGTCACACCAAGAGCAAAATGCACTAAACGAATCATTGAGAAGATAGTGATCTTGAACGGAGTTAATGGTGTTATATAGAACGCAGTCATCGGCGTAGAGACGTAATTCACAGGTAATAGATTGTGATAAGTCATTAATAAAAATAAAAAATAATAAAGGACCAAGAACGGACCCTTGTGGTACCCCTGATGTGACTTTGATTTGAGATGAATTGCCAGAGTTAAAGCTAACGTATTGGGAGCGATTAAACAGAAAATTGGCAATTAGGTCTACTAGACTGGAATTTTTTAAAATGGCACCGAGTTTTTTGAGCAACTTAGAATGCGAAACAGTGTCGAAAGCTTTTGCGAAATCAATGAATATTACGTCGACCTGGTGGCCGCAGTCAAGACTTGCAGAAATGTCATGGGTAAATTCTGTCAATTGGGTTAAAGTGCTGAATCCCCTACGAAAGCCATGCTGCAGATTAGATAAGACGTTGTTAGTCTCAAGAAAGTCGATTATATGTTTATAAATGATGTGCTCCAACAGCTTGCCGGAATGTGGTGTCAGCGAGATGGGACGATAGTTTGGCAAAAGCTGCTTATCACCAGACTTATGAATCGGCCGAACCTTGGCCAGTTTCCAGGCACTAGGAAAAACACCCGAGGATAAACACTTCTGAAATACGATGGTAAGGTAACGAGATGTCCATAACGCATACCGAATTAAAAAAGAGTTTGGAATACCATCGGGACCGTCTCCCTTTTTTGCGTCTAGATTCAGAATAAGATTCAATACACCAGCATGACTGATAGTTACATCAGTAATTGAGCCTATATCGGAAGGGGAGTTAAAGGCAGGGGCAACATGATTATCGACGGAAAGTACAGAGTGGAAGTAAGTATTAAACGCATGGGAGATTTTCTGGTCATCAGTAATAGTTTCACCGTTAATCAAGAATGAGGAGGAAGAGCAACTACTAGGCAGAACTTATGTCCAGAATTTGCGAGGATTATTTTTCAGTAAAGAGTGTAATTGTGTGCCAAAGAAAAAATCCGTTGCAGAAGCCATCATTGCAGCAAGCTGTTTTTTAGCTTTCAGGAACTCATTCGTGATATTAGGTATATCAAGGTTCATTCTACGCCTCAGCCTGCGTACACGACGAGATAGGTGAAGAATATCTCTATTCATCCAAGGAAGTTTCTTATTCTTTGTTTTAGTTTTTATTGGAACAAAGCGATGAATGCACGATTTTACAATGCTTTCAAAGTACGACACAAGAGTATCTACGTCACAGTTGCTGCTCATGGATTCGAACAGAGAAAAAGCATCAGCAAGGCCATCCAAGATCGAAGTATCGTTAGCACGATTAAAATCCGGGAATGTTGTGAACGAATACAAGGTTTAAAACACAGGATAAGACAGGGTCACGATGACCGCCTTATGATCCGATATACCTTCGGTAGTTTCACATATAAATCCAGCTTCCGCAATGTTAGAGCTTACAAATATTAGGTCGAGAAGTGCGTCCAGTCGAGTTGCATCACTAACCAACTGCACCAAGTCATGCGACAACGAAAAATTGATTAGCTCTCGGCCGAGGCCAGGTTCTCGACCGAAAGGTGTCAGAGAAGGCCAATGAATTCCGGGTGCATTAAAATCACCCATACAGATAATATTAGATGAACCAATATTGTGGTTATAAATATAACTATTGAGATTGCGTACATGATCGACGGAGGTGCCAGGTGGGCGGTAGCAGACACCAACCATGAGATGATGCTTGTTTAAGTAAAGCTTGCACCATACCGATTCAACAACTAGAGGCACAGGCAAAACAGAGAACGCCAAGTCCGACCGAAAAAGTCAAGCAACTCCCCCTCCTTTGCCGCTCCGTCGATCACAACGATGAGTCATTTGCTGCAATTATTTGTAGAGAGATTTGCCACTCGTCGCCGTGATCTTGTTTTGTCGCCAAATTAAGGTGCGCTCGTGAGTTTGTCGCGCGTTCCCAGTGCGAGCTGGGTCATTACCTTGTCGCTGTTGGGCGTGGCCACGAGTCGGTACCTGCGCAGGATGTGGGCGAGCGTGAAGCGCAGCTCCATCTGCGCAAACCGCATGCCGATGCAGTTGCGCGGTCCCGCGCCGAACGGCTGGAAGGCCAGCGGGTTCTGGCCCTTGCGACGCTCGCCAAGAAATCTGCATGCATGCACGGGGGTCGAAGAACACTGGCGTCAGTACTCAAGCGAGCCTGGACGCCTGCGGGTCGCAGTACGCTCCAGATTGTGTTAGCAGATAGTAGATCATTATTTGGCATAGAAAGACACATATTAGATGGAGACCGAGCAGCAGCTTACGCGTACACTGCAAAGAACGGGCGCTTGCTTTCTGTCGAGAGAGGAGGGAAACTACGCCCGACGCAGGTGGATCTGCAACAGGAAACTATGCGCGTGCAACCACATCTTGTGGCATAGATATGTACTGGATTAATAAAAACAGCATAGATTGGAGACTGGACCAGGTGCAACGTCATCAAGCATTGCAGTGACTACGCATGCGCAAGCCTGACCTGCCTCTGTACAGATACACTGGCATCATGCAATAAAGGGCTCTTTCGTTTCCTGCTGCTCGGCTGTCCGCCGAGACAAAGTGGTATTTATTTTATTCAACAACTATTCTCACTTCTCACCAAGGTCATCAATGAGACTTCATCATAGCTTTGTACCTTTGTACGCACTGATATTTTTCTCTTGAGCTTTCTTCCCAGGTGACATCGAAGACTGGAATTAATCACCTGGTTCTGTTTATGCCCTGCTCGTAGATTTTGTATCATACACTTAAGTTGTGCGTCGTCTGTAAGACATCCTCGTCTTGCGACCAAATGCTTGCTTACAATTTTATGTGCTTTTTAATGCCGCATTTTCTGAATGAATTCTATTTTGTAACCCACTCGTGTTATAGCGCCTACTGCGCTACAACAGAAGTGGGTACAGCCATATGAGCGAATTAATACGTCACATGCCGAGCTACTAGTTCCACCAATGAGAGCGAGGGGACGTCACCTGTCCGGGTCGAACGCGTTCGGCTTCTCCCAGCTGCTGGGGTCCCGGTGGATGTACTCCGTGGCGGCCATCACTGCAGTACCTGCGGGAATCTTCAGCTTGCCGTACTGCTTGTCCACCACGGCCTCCCGTGTCACGAAGCTGCATGTATACGAGACGGGTTAATACGCGAGTAAACGTCTAATATGCGACTCGTGTGTACGTTAAATAGCACTCATGAGACAAACTGTATCGCACAAAATAATAATCACAAACCTTCCGTTACAGTGTCATAGCTACAGGAAGCATTTGAATGCTGTCATACACAAATAAATACACAAAATAACTCTCGTATGACATCATACAGCAGAAAACAAGCGAATATACGGACCTGAAAGCCCAACGAGACAAACTCTTCAGAACACGCAGGTTTAATTCTGAATTACAGTAATATCTGGGGTTTACCACCCCGAAATCGCGATATGAGTATGAGGGACGCAGGGCTCCTGAAATATAAACCACCTGGGGTTCTTTAACGTACACCTAAATCTAAGTACACGGGCTTTAAAGGAGTACTGACACAACATATTTGGCCTCGCATTTTTCTGCTGCAATGAATTGCTGTAGAGCTGTTAGTCATGACACAACACATTATTTGCTGCATCACGCAATAGACAATTAATTACAGGCCCCTCATTATCGATCAGTTTTGGTTTGAGAGAGTTCCAAAAACTGGGTGCAACTGTCGCCACCTAGCGTGTGCAACTCTTGACTACGTCAGCCCACAGAAGTGTGACGCACTTCTGCACGATCCACATCAAGAATTACTTTTGAATAGGAAACGGCACTGGAATGTCGCCAAACACAAAACTTTCTAAGCGTGCCCCACGGCCACACACTCGCAACCAGCCGCCGAGAAATATAGACTTCGGGAACTAACGCGGCAAAGGAAAAATGCTGGCTATGCGGTCATGATAACTTGTTTTGTTGACCGCAGCGTGGTGACGTGAGGGAAGTAGGGGGTCACCTCGGGGTCACCTCTGAGGATGTATATAACGCTATAGAGTTGGTCGCTCACGCAAATGAATTTAAAATACCTTGAAATTCAAATAACTGAAAATTAATTTAAAATACCTTCCAAGCTACATTCATTGTTGATATCTTGCAGACGGTATACGAATGTTCACAAGAATTGATCCCGCAGGCTATCTCGGTCCCAAAATTTTGTGTCAGTACCCCTTCAAACATTTTCGCCTCCATCGAAAATGCAGCCGGGATTAGATCCTCGCCACCTTCGGTGTTGCAGCCGAACGCCGTATCCGCTAGACCCCTGACGCGGGGCTAATTGTGAATTATTTCAACAAATGTGAAAGATGCATTACGCATTTTTCCTCTTTCTTTTAGTAAAGCAGCGTAGGACTGCTGCAACAAGTTTCGGGGACACGCAAACAACACGTTCATGCAGTTTACAGCACCCTATCAAGGTGTTGCCGTGAAGCCCGTTATAAAGCAACGAAATGTCTAATGTGTCTTTTTGGTTGACACGCTGTCAATATAGCAGGCGCTACAGATACGTCATCCGTAGCAGCGCTAGGTATTCAGCTACTATATAAACCTTTAGAACCCCAAAACAAGGGCGGAGCCGCCACTTTTTTACTTAATGATGTGGAGAATTCATGACAAGTGAGTTCCTTCGCGAGGTTTAGGGATGGGAGGGATTAAGAAACTTATGCTTTGTACTTTCTGTATGCTTGCTCGTGGAGGACGAGCGAATACTATTGGCGTGGGGGAGGGGGAGGGGCCCCGTCACTTTTTCAAAAAGATAGCAAATTGAGAGTTAGCCATCTGTTATTGATAAAAAAATCACAGCTTTGACGCAAAGGTGAAGTAATGAACGCGATAGCAACAAATTGGAAGGTCACGCGCAGAATGACCTACAGTTCAAAACATGCCCCGCTTTCTCACGCGCAAATGACGCACGAAACGTACTCACAGGTACAGATGAACGCGAATAAGCGACTCAGTTGTTACTTCGCTGTGTCTGAAAAGCGCGCCTTTTTCGCAAACGGAGGGTGTGCAACGATTGCAGTGACCTTTGTGCGCCCGGTGACTACAACAGAATCGTCCCAGCGAAACCCAAAGGCTAGCCAAGACGTGCGATCCTCCTCACTGCAAGATAAGGGCGCGCGATCGAGCGTACACCCCCTTATTCTCTGCGCGGCCCAAAGTAACGCGTGAGAGATGAAAGCCGCCGCGCGCTCACTGCGCCATCTTGCTGATAATGCTGAAAACACAATAGTTCCCCCCACCCCATCAAAGATGCCCACCAACAGCGTTAAGTGGTAGATATAAATAGCTTGCCGTAGGAACGTCGAAGCAGTTGTTCCTCGGTTGCTCAGTAAATAAAGTTTTGTATTAACTATACGCGGATGTCCCACGTTCGATTCCGCGTGCCGTAGTGTTTTTTTCTGAATTTTTTTCTTGAGTTGTCATATATATAGATACGTATACATATACGACGCATGAGATCGACGTCGGCGGCTAAATCCAGCCGAGATAGTCCATATAATTGCAATCACACTAAAAAGCAAAGAGAACGGGTGTATTCTTTTACACAGCATAACTGTGAAGAGAACTATGGGGTAAGCGTAATGCTTTGTCTAAGCACACGCTATGGCATTTAATTTATCACAGCGTATAGCCTACAAAGCTTATCAATATTTATATATTGACAAGCTTGTTAAACATTTATACATTGACAAAGCTTATCAATATCACCACCACGTGCACTTGACGATCGTTTTTTCGCAGATAAATGGCCGGCGAATGTAGCAAATGAGGGACGATGCACTTCAATACCACACTATGTCCCTGCCGTTCATAAAACACCATCGAGCGTCTACAGCAGGTGTAGAAACCGATGTAAACAACAAAAAGATTATTAAAAGTGCTGTTATCCAGAACAAGCAAAATAAAAGGCCACAACAACGTGAAAACATCGACATTTATCCCCCAATCAATCAATGTATATGACAGAACAAAATGTTAACAAAAACAAAATAAAAAGCTTTTAACCAGAAAAAAATAGAAGGTCACAATTCGTGATCACTCACAGTTTCGCTGACAGGTTTGCTCTGACATCAGTAAGCACTGCATAGACGTCCTTAACGTTGGCGGTCAGAGTTTACGGTGTTCCTCGTCCTTTGTGTATCAGAGGCCCACGGGACGGCTTATTGCTCTCCCAGAGTAGAGTACCGAGTACTCTAAATCGTTCACCAGTTTTTTCTAAACATGACACATCGCTCTCTGAAGCGACAAGTACGGGGCCAGGGGACAGCTAAAGGTCTCCCATAGTAGAGTTTACCACTTTTTTCTAATCACACGGCAGCACGTGGACCACGGCTATCCGCTGTTGAAAACTCGTCATCGTCAACAGTGGGCGCCTTGTTTGAGCTTTATGACACTGGGCGGGCATTGCATCCAGTTAAGGCGATGCTGCTGAGAGACAGATCGGCATGTGGACAAAACCATGCTCACAAACCGACGAAAATACTGACGTGGACAACACCGCCTCGACGCGCTCAGATCCGGAGTAATTGGGTTGCGGCCAGATACGACCGAATTAGCGAGAGCTTCATGGCATTAGACAATGCACACATTCTGGCGCCAGAGAGCTTGTCCGAATTATCCGACTTTCCGTATTAACGAGGGTCGAATGAACGATGTTTTACTGGATTATGAAAGAAACAACAGACAACCCACCCGTTTGCAAGATGAGGCCACAAACATTATTTGCAAGATTGCTGCGATAATGTGGCATTCAAGTTCAGAACATTGCTTGAACGTGCTGGCAGAGAAGAACGGATGCGGTCTGAGAGACGTGAGAATGGCTACATCCCTGCCTCGGGCCTGGGCAACGGGGATGTCATTACCTGCACCGATACAACGGCGTCCCGAGACCGATCAGATTCTCACTGTTTCGCCTTTCTCGTGCCGTAGTCTTCCGTCCACGTGCATCGACTTTTGTAACGGAGCAGCGATGAGGCATGGCTGCTCTCTCTACCATGTGGCAGAGCGGCTGGAAGACTAGGCCTAACAAACGACTCGAATTTTCGAGACAAACCAGGGTTGACGTCAGGGAGAGTAGTTTTCGCCCTTACCATTCAGTTAAAAAACAAAAAAAGAAAAGAAAACATGCTGGTGTGGTGGTGGCCCTGCTCTTTTGCGATACGTATATTCTGCATGCCTTGCATCCGCCGTGATGCTGTAGTGGTTTAGGGCCTGTCCATGCGCTACCCGCACCGCACATGTCGGCACCTGCCGCACGCAAGCGGAGGGCTGCTTGCGCTGTGGAAAGAGTGCGTGGCCTGTCCACACGCAAGGGTACTTGGCTGCTGCCCAGAAAGTCGACGTGCTCGATTTCAGTCACGGCTCTCACATATCGGTGTCGGCGAAGTGCTCTAGATACATGTACTGTGGCGTGTCAGCGCACGTTAAGGAACACCGGATGGTCTAATGGTGCTGCCATGTTGGAAATTGCTGACACCTACTGGTTTCGAGGCTACTCTTTTACCGCCGTAAAAGACTTCATCGAACACCGTTTCCAGAGAAAGACCGCTTCTGAAAAAGAGACTGCTCTCTGTCGTGTGTATGCACGTGGAACTCTTTTTCAAACAGAGTCTTCTTGCTTAAGATACTTTTTGTGCCCGTGTGACTCGGGTATTAATCTCCGGAGCCCTCCATTACGGCGTCTGTCAGTAGTCATATCACTGTTTTGGGACGTGATACCCAAACAGTTATTATTGTTATGTATACTTTGCGTTCTATTCGTGAAAGTAGTTCAATTCGCCTAAGTCTGAAAAGTGATTCGAGGGCTTATTAACAGCAACGCCGCGCACTTCTTTACATATTTGGTGCGTCAAAAGCCGTCGAGAACTTACGAAAATATGGGCGGGTAGAGGCGCATGGTTTCCTGGATGACGCAGTTGAGGTACGTCAGCTTCTGGATCGTGTTGTAGCTGATCTCCTCCTGTTCAGGGCAAACAAGATGAGACCATGAAAGCAAGCAGTGTGAGGTCAGCGTGCTGGTACATTGCACAGAAATAACAATACCAATAAATCACACGCATCATATGTACGACCTCCTCGCGATAATGGTCGAACCTTGCACAGTTGGAGTTAGTATGAGGCAACAATTAGCGGCGTGTTGAGTGTTGCGCAATTAATGCGACTGCTGTAGAGCGCGGAGTTCCCGACTCGTCAACTAGCGACGCCGATCGGTTCCGTGAAGGTGAACGCGGAAGAGCCGCGCACGGGAAAGAAAGGAGACTCCCTCGCTCACACGGTTCACCAGTGGAGCCGTTAAAGTCACCCCAGTTTAGGACGAAAAAGGGGAAAGCTTAACCGGAAGCGCATCTTGCAACAAGCAGGCCAAGTGCGGCCGTCTGAATTTAAGCGATTGTTGGCATGCGCGTGTGCCATTGAGAACGACGCAGGGACGCGACCACTGGGCTTACCGAGGCATGATGGCAGCAGAGAAACGAGCTTATCCCCCCCCCCCCGCCCCCCCCGCTATACGTCATTACCGAGTGTTGTTAGGATGGCGGGGCGCCTCGCTGTCGCGTGCACACCTGGTTAGCGCACAGAGACTGACGGGGTACCAATTAGGAGGCTTCTACGAAGCAACGTTTAATGAGAACACTGATGAAGCTCGAGCGTGAGAACGGCTACCGACGGAGGTCAGCCGGCGAAGGGCAGCACGGACCGACATGGGAGAGTTTGTTACACGCTGAGAACCTATGTTCTCTCGTGTTATATGTGGTAACGCGCCTGTTTCCAATTCAGTGCCTGCTATGAAAGTGTTTTTGCGATTGGTTGTGGCGATGTGAGCCCACACCAGTGATTGGCTTGTGTGGAGACCCTTTGTTAACCGAGAGTTGAAAAGAAAATGTTTGGATGTGAAATGGAGGGCGGAGATTCGGGCTTGCACCCGGGCAGACGCCGGAGTGCTGCATTTAAAGCGTCTCTTCATGGACTACGGCTCTTCCTTCGCGCTGTCACGAGCACTCGAGTCATCGAACGGACCCATTCCGAACCTCAACCCCTTCCATTCTTAGCTAGTGTAGAAGCTAGTCGAGGAGAAGAAAATTAACTGTTGGCAACATACAGCGTAGGTCGTTTGCAAACAAGATTGATTGTGTGTGTGACTTACGTCTGGTCCCAATGCGGTGAACAGTTCTTGTCGAACCTTCTCTTGCACGTCAGGGTAGTTGATCAGCATGTGAGAGACAAGCGTGAGCGTATTGCTTGTCGTCTCGTATCTAATAAAGAACAAAGAGACGATTGATTGATCAACACTCTTCCCTCTCGCGAAGCACAAAGACACAGAGATCGAGACGCACCCTGCTACGAGGACAAGGAAGGCGTTCTGCGTGATGTCGTCATCGTCCAGGACAGTCTTGCTCGAGTACGTGAGGCCTTTTGGCGAGGAAACTGCATATGAATAAGAGAACAGGCATAATGGCGGAATATCCTTAATGCCATTACTACAGTGGTTGTACAGAAATTGAGGGAAGTCTGGCGCGAAATGTTTTGTCATGAGCTGAAGAATTCCGGAGAAGACCCAACGAGACTATTGAAGCGCGGCAGCTGATCTATCACCTCCGAAGAAATATTTCCGTGCATGCATTTCGGCGATCCTATTTGAAGTCTGAGTCACTAGCTGTGCAGCTACTGGCGTCAGTGTACACTGCGTGCCCATTGGTGCAGGCCTCTATGCATCCACTTTTAAAAAAGAAAATACCGTGGACTTTTAAAGTTGTACCCGACTATAGCCATAATACACAGGTGAGACGGCTCAGCCAGTACGAAAACGTCGGATAATCTACATAAGTTCATTGCTCCGGATTCAGTTAACATTGCGACTGCATAAAAATTTTCATCTCTAACAAAACGTCTTGTTATAGATAGCAATGGTTCATGGTAGCCATGCACGTCTGCGCAGACGTTGTTTTCACGTGTTTTGCAGAACATAATGGCTCGGCCGTTAAGTATACAGGCAGATAGAGCGAGGCACGGAAACCTCTGCACACATTAAAGTAAAAGAATTAGTCGCATTCATAGACTACTCTTGATTCTCCGAGATAAGGGGTGATTTATAGCAGTGCCACGAATTCCTATACTTTTGAGGGGCCATGACCCGGTCATCCTACTATTCGTGGTTTTCAGCAAGAACTGCAAGTAGAGGCTCTATTATACCTATTAACACACGAAGGCTGCGCTATAAAAGAACATTATTGTGAAAAACAAGTCATAGAAGTCGCCGGCCGTAAACTCCACCCACAGCCGGCGACCGCCATTTTTCCATGGCACGTGTGACGTCATGAGTTGGAGGGAGCGGAGCTGTAGTCCTTTAACAAATTTTAGCCGCTGAAAATTGTTCAATTTCGGTGCCAAGCTCTAGAAAACCTCAATCTCAATTTCAAGTGCAGCTGATTATGGACCAAAATCTTTCGCTGTAATACGGACACTCGCACAGCTAGTCGCTTGTTACGTCACTGCTCGTGAGTACAGCCAATGCATGCCACCAAGATAACTTCAGGCCCGCTCACTGCGTCGGCCATGGGCTCTGACGTCACTCCGTTTTGACCAGTGTGTTTTGCTGTACAGACGTGCCTATGCTTGCTCTCGACGCTGGACAGACATGGATTGCCAAGCCCGACTGAAGTTTGTGTGGCGTGCTAGTGTTCTTGTTGGCGACTTGAGAAGACCATAATTTTTCTGTGTCCGTGAACTGCAGCGTGGATATGTGATGCGTTTTGTGCACTGAATATTTGTAATCTGTACGGCTGGAAATCCGAAAGGTTGGGCTATGCTGCATGGCAAATTGTCGCGGCAAAGGGACCGATGCTGTGAGTGTTCTCGTTTCCTAAGAACACCCGAAGAACGAAATGGGAGTGTGTTGTTCGTCAAGCTGACGTCGACATCCATTTTCTTCGTGACCCGAAGGTACGTGTGCCCGTACTACGTATTTTTAAGTGGTTCCTCATTGCTACCATGTTCCGTTCTTGCTTGAAAATAAAAGCTGTCATCTGTGCTTCTGACTTGTTTGCGTAGGCCCTGGCATTAAATTAGTAAACGTGCGTAGCAGAACATTTTTAGAACAAGCGTTTTTCTTTTAGGATCAGTAAACATTTTGCAACTGGCGATTAGCGCCGCGGACTTGTATTACCTCTGTTCATTTGGTGATAACAATGGAAGGAATGCTGTTTCATTACTTTGTGCGTCCGTTTTGTGTATAGTATTTTGTTGCCGGTGTTCATATCACGCTATCGCAGTATTATTACGGTCAGCCCATTAGTGAAATATGTTTCCTTGAAATTTGGACGTGTGTAGACACTTACGGTAAAGTGCTTTTTTAATTGGTTTTCAGGTGTGTAATCTCTACTTCAAGCTAGAATAATTAAGAACAACTACCAGAAATATAGCGATCCAAGAACCGGCAGTTCGGTATAAGCATCCACGGGGTCTACACGGTTTAATATAGACGCTGTACTAACAGTTTTTCCAGGCCCTAAGTTATATGACTGACTACGCACCACTGCGAGAGGGGCCAGAGCAAAAGAGGAAACGCCGCTTCTTGTGTCGGTCACAAGAGATTTTTGTGAAACGAAAGATTGGGAAACGAAATGGTCATCGCCCTGATGTTGTGCTTAATGCCATACCCGTGGCAGCAGCACACTCTCCTCAATAACTACGTGTCTATGATGACAGATGTTGGAAAGAGTACAAATAAAACCGCAGAAACTTTGCAAATGACTTAGGAACAGTTTCTCTGCATGCTCTAGATATTGTGTGTATACGTGCGTGTGTAAGTAAATAAAGAATGAATAAAATTTACCGCATTTATTTGTAAATTTTTTGGTCCATCAAATTTTGCTCTAATAGATCAACCACAAGTTTGATAGCGTCAATCTTTGACTTTTTCGTGGAATGAATTGCTCACAGGTGACTTTCCAAATGCTTTAGCGCGCAATACATTACTTAAACCAGTGCCCTTTTTTTTGCCCAAAAGGCAGAATAAACTGTTAAGCATGTAAAACTTGCCGCGAACGCTTTGCCTTTTAACGGGAAACGGTTGTGGCAATGGATTCACAGATATTCCGTACGCGCACTCGCTCGGGCAAAACGAGTGACGTCACGTTGGCAGTGATCAGGCCTGATAATCTAGGTGATATTGGTACAACCCAACTGTCAGGCAGTACACGTGTTTATATATGCAAAATGTTCCATTATGAATTACGCGCCCGACCAGATGCGAAAAAAAGTTTGTCTGCGTGTTTGTTAAAGGATTAACCAACGTAACACAGATTGTGATCGAAAACCGAGTGTCATGGCCCCTTTAAATCGAAAAGGAAATGCTGAGGTGCGTATTCGGGACGCTGACGTGAGGCAGGATGTGGTGGGTGTCAGAATGTTACGGGTTTGAAAGTGTCCTGTTGTTTAGTTGGTGCCATGTTGGTTTCTTACGGATATCCGTTAAAACGCGAGCTTGATTATCCCTCACGCGAGTAGTCAGCGTGAGGGATAATCACAGTTCAGGTATCCCGATCACCCTCTCTTAGCTTTTTCTCTTTTTGGAATTTCATGCGAGCGGCACGTACGTGACAGACACGTGAAGCAGTATTCATAATCAACTGTAAGCATACGTGCAATCATTATCATGTATTCATCCTCACAACCAATCATCCTTTTAATTTAAGGCGTTTCTCTAGCGCCACCTTAAAAAAAGTCTGGTTCTGCAGCTGGTAGCCACTCACGTGCACTCTGCTTGAGTTCGTGTTCGTTGTCGTCGGCGGCCGTCAGTTGGTCCGAGGTGACGCTAGCGACGTCCACGTTCGAAGTCTTGGCCTCGATCATCAGCTGCAGCAGGTCCTTTTGCGGGACCTGCGTCAGAGGGACACGTCCTTGACCATAGATCGAAGTCATTGCGTGCTAAGCTCGTACGAATATAGGCAAGGCAGCTCGTATAAAAGCTCACTCACCAATCACGTTAACGTACTAACTGTAACGGGAACAGCGAGGTGGCGTGGTTTGAGCTACAGCTTTCTGTGGTTCACGAAACTTCCTTTGGGTCCGGTAGGCTAGAAACTGCGAAGCCTAGGGTGAAGCACAAATTTGTTTCCTCTAGTGTGTTGGAGAAGCAGCATGCAGCCTTAAATGAAGGTAAATAAGAGCTCCAAAAGGGGCTGATTAGTCGCTTTACAACGGTTCACAGCCAAAGTACCTTGCGTCGTATCTTAGACGCGCAGCAGTTTGTAAGAGCTGTCCATCTTTTGTCGACTTCAAATGGTCACGCGAGCAACTGTGTCGAGATGAAGGCGGCTGAACGAAACACCATCCTGATTATTTTCGTTTTTTAGGCCCGCCGTAATTTGTATGTCCAAAGCAGAAGTGATGATGATGATGAGAATGATGATGATCCTTGGTACTCTGGCGCACACCCACAAAGGGGGATCGGCCAAGAACCGGGTGGCAGGATCTTAACTAAAAGGCTTATGGTTTTTCAAACACATCGTAATTTTGAGCTGAAAAAATATATAGAAAGAAAAGCCAAAAATTGAAAAAGGAGTATATCTGAGCAGGGAACGATGCAGGCTATCAGATGCGATTTGAGACAGAGGTAATGGTGGGTCTACAATGATATATATATATATATATATATATATATATATATATATATATATATATATATATATATATATATATATATATATATATATATATATATATATATATATATGGGCAGTTTAACATGGCAATCGCTTTGTTTCAATTATGTATTCAAATACCGCAGAACATGTAGACGTCTCTGTGGCTATAACCGACTATAATGCTGCCAAACGACAAAACTACTGCCACATTTAATTCTAATCCCAATTTTTCAAGTGGAGCTACCAGGTATCTTTTCCACTGATGAGAATATCGGCGACAGAACAAAAAGAAGTGATCTATCGTTTCCATTTCTTCGCAAGTCTGACATAAAGGTGACGCCTTTAGACCAACTTTATGCAAATAATAATTCAGTTGCGGATTTCTGCAACGCAATCTTGTAAAAGTAACTTCCAAGTGCCGTGTTGCGCACCACTGTCTATTCCAGCGGCATCTTAGATGTGCGAAATCTCGATATTTATCCAATGAGTAGCAGTCGCATTCATGCAAACAGAGGTTTCTAAACCTTATTGCTATCGCGTAAGCCGTATCAGGCCAAATCGGGATAAGGGGACCGCTAAGAGATACTGTGGCTAGTGCATCCGCCATCTCATTGAGATATATTCCATGATGGCCTGGTACCCATAAGAGCTGCAGTTTTTTCAAGTTTGTCGGTATGAGTTGTCGAAACATGTGCATAAGTGTTAAGTTGGCTCCTGAAGACAGAGCCGCACATACTGAAAAAGAATCTGTAATTACGACTGCTTCCGGTTCGCCCAAAGGAAGTTTCCGTAGTGCCAGTACAATAGCAAATAATTCTGCTATCAATATTGGTGTGTAATCTGGGAGTCTAACCGAAAAGGACCAGTCAAGGGAACGTGAGAAGATACCTGCCCCAGCCTTTTCATTTGATACGGATGCATCAGTCGCAATTATGTTGTTCATGTTCACGTGTGCCAAGTAATCCTGCAGCCGATCATTTAAATATTGAAAGGGCATTTGCTTTGCGTTAGAGAGATAAATATTGTCAAATTCTATCTTAAGATCTAAAATAATGTTTCTTGTTGAGAAAATATGTTTGATTTTGACGTTCAGTGGTTCTAGCAGCGCTTCAACGAACAAGATCTGTGGGCAGTGGAATCGCGACCACCAAGTTTCAAAAAATAAGCTTGGTTCGTTAATAAAAGCATAAAACGATGCTCTCTGGGGCAGAAGTGATCATTATGCTAAACCGGCACGTGCTCTCTTCGTTTTTTCCCTTGATGACTATCGTCTTCCTCATCTTCTACTTCACTTCCAGAAGATACGTGACAATTTCTCCAACGCGGGATCAGTAACACGACGGCCGAGTGAACGTGTTCAGAAAAAAAAATAGAGGAAGAAAAAAAGGCACAGAAATTTTCGCCTAAACAAACTTTTTGGTGAGGCGGGAATCGAACCCGTGTTCTCATGATCCGAAGGCAAGCACCTTAATAAGCACTCGGCTATCATTTTTTTTTCTTTAATGAATGACATTATCACCAGTAAAGTACACAGAACATACTTCATCAGAATTCAGACAAACACACACAAGCGTCAAGAACGGGAAGCCACTCCGGAACGGGGTCAAAAGTCTCGACAACACTGCGCACTTTAGCAGCTGCTTCTCGGAAGACAGATCTCGTCGACCGTGGTGGCTCGGCGTGTCTATCCATCATGCGACTTTTCCATAATGAATAAAGTCCCAACAACATAAACAAGTCGTAAGGAGTACTATCAGTCAGACTCTTTTTGAACGGAAGGAACCTAATACCATGGGCTGTGATTGGAAGTTCTTTTCTTAACGTTCTTTTTAGAATGTCCCAAAAATAAAAAGCATCACGACAATGAATAAAACAATGCTCTATAGTCTCAGGTTGGTTGCAAAGTCTACAATTCACTGTCCAGGGTACGTATATTGATTTTTCATTCAGCCACGTTTTCACTGGCAGCGTGGAAGTGTGCAGTTTAAAGAAAAATATGTTTTCGCTGCAGGAGATATACACATTCTACGTACACGAAATAATACATCGTGACCAGACAGAAGCGAATATGGCTTTCGATAAACAGGTTCGGGGAAAAGGTTATTCACAAGTGCAGCGGTTAAATTTGTTCTGTCAATAGTATACAAATACTCTAAGGTAAACCTGGCTTTCAAAAAACTGACAGTATCAACAATTTCCTTTAGGAATCCCCGCAACGGCAATTCCTTAGCAACGCTTGTTGTGACATGAATAAAAGGAAGGTGGTAACAAAGACGGTTACGAAGAACCGCTAATAGAAATGGGTGGCACACATCCTTGAGGTAGAAAAATCGCAACACCAACTGTCGCACGAACAAATGCACAAGGCCGAGGCCACCCTTTTCGAGTGGAAGAAAAAGATTGTCTCTTCTCATGGGTTCCCAGGAAGAGCTCCAAATAAAGCAGGCAAATATCCTATGAAAGGCTTGAATGTGTACCCGAGAGCAATGCAACACCTGCAGAATATAAATAAGCTTCGATACAAGGAATATATTGCACGCTTTCGCTCTGGCAAAAATGGAAAGCTCCCGTCCGTGCCATGTTGCCACCTTTCGGCGGATAGTAGTTATCGCAGCGGTCCAGTGTGGGCCGCTGTTACGATAGTTATCGAGAGGCACACCGAGGTATTTCATAGGAGTCGCATTCCAATGAATATTTGCGAAGACCGAAGGAGTTGTAGCCCACATGCCTAGCCAGAATCCACTACTTTTATCAAAATTTATGCTGGCGCCAGCGACTTCACAGAAACGTAAGTAGTGTTGACTGCTTCTTGAACGCTGGGTTTATCAGCGCAAAAGAAGGCAATGTCATCTGCATAAGCTAGCACTTTAACTTCCTCAGCATCATATCGGTAGCCTCTTATGCTGGACTTTAGAAGCACACTTAAACATAATGGTTCCAAATAAATTGCAAAAAGCAAAGGTGACAGCGGACATCCCTGACGTACAGATGAATTTAACTCTATTATATTGGAAAGTGTGCGATTTACAATTAGCCTAGTTGTGCACTTCTTATAACAGAGTGAGATACCATTGTATAGTACATCACCCAACTGCAGGTGTCTTAGGAGCCGGAAAAAAAATAAAACATGCTGTACCTTATCAAATGCTTTTGCAAGGTCTATTTGAAGGAGGGCTACTTGGTCCATGCTACAATCTATACACTCAAGAACTGAACGTGCAATATGTATGTTTGTCTGTATAGAGCGACCACGAATTCCACATGTTTGGTGGTCACCTACACATTTAGTAATCACTGTCTGTAGCCGATTTGTCAACAATTTAGCAAATATTTTGTAGTCAACGTTACATAACGATATAGGCCTGTATTCGTTAACTCTCTTTAATGCGTTAGGATCAGCACTTTTTGGGATTAATGTTGTATGGCTCTGATAGAAGGAAGGAGGAAGTTCACCACGGTCATAAGCCTCTTTAAAAAGTTGCTCAAGGAAAGGTATCAGAAGTTCCTGAAAAGCTATGTAAAATTCACCACTAAGGCCATCTGGGCCAGGAGTTTTGTTTTTCTGCAACGTTGTTATTGCAAATCTAATTTCCTCTCTGGTTATTGGCCCCTCTACAGGGAGTCTATCATCATCTTGTAACTGAGGCACAAGGGCAATGAAGTGGTTAGCTTCTTCCTCAAAATTCTCCTGAAGCTCAGCCGCGGTGAACAAACATTTGTAATAATCTTCAAATGCAGCTCTTATTTCACATGTCTCTGTGCAAAGGGAACCCCGCGACTCAATTTGCAGTATCTGTTTAGAAAGTGCATATCTCTTTTCATCCCCAAGGGATTTTTTAGTGGGTTCCTCTTCAGTGAAATGGGTAACACGGGAACGAATCTTAGCTCCTCTGTATAAATCTGTATCATGTTTTTGTATCTGTGCTCGAATCACATTTATCTCGTCCCCGTACAATCCCGGCTGTTCACTTTCAAAAGTATGGAGCTTATGAAGTAAATCATGAAGATAGCGCTTTTCAGCTTTTTTTCTTTGCGCTATTTCGCATGAAATACTAATTGCCTGATACTTGACTCTTTCTTTGAACCTTTCCCATTGAGCGAAAATTGGTAACTGTCGACACCGTTTTACCTCTTGTACCGATTCTTTTACTATTTTAACAAAACAATCTTCGCGCAACAACTGTACGTTAAGCTTCCATAGGTCCCAGTTTAGAGGGGTTTTACGAAAATTTTTAGGACCCCAAGAAACAGTGACCAAGCAATGGTCTGTAAAAAATATGGGCTTTACAGCATAATTATGAATGTGAGACCATAAGCTTAGAGATACATATACACGGTCAAGCCGAGCATGAGAGATGCCTTGAAAGTGCGTGAACCTCACCGAAGAAGGTGCATGCGCTCCCACATCTATTATATTGTGGTCATTCAATAGTTTCTGCAATAAGGCTGCACTTGCATCATAACGATTTGTTATGTATGAATGATCTCTAGCGTCACAAACACAATTAAAGTCTCCAAAAACTACCAAAGTTCTGTCAGTGTTTAGTAGCGAAGTTAAAGAAAGGAAAAAAAGAATTCCTTTCATTCACTTTGGAGGGAGCATAGACACAGATAAACCTCCAATTATGGGAATGAAAAGATAAGTCGCAACAAATAAGGCGTCCTTCCCCATCAACATGTAGTGACGTCAAAATATGATTCAAGTGCTTTCTAATTAATAAAAAGCATCCAGCGGATGCACCACGTGCTGGGCTGATGTATAAATTGTAATCATGGAAAACTTCCATTGCAAGATCGGCGTCACGTGCAGCGGAAATCTTAGTCTCTTGCACTGCAAGTACATCTATGTTGTACTGCTCAAGCACGTGGCGCAACTGCCACTGACGCCTTACATTCCTCAAGCCACGTACGTTGAGTGTCGCTACACACATGGGAAACGTTAGCGCGGTAGCCATTTTGATATCTTACTACTTTTGTAGGTCACCTTTAGCCACAGGCCAACCTGTGGCTTTACCTCCTTTGCACTTTTTAGGAGCACTTTCCTCAGGACTCTGGCATAGGCGGCGCGTCTCTCGGTCCCCAAAGAAGGTGACACGTGGACCAGACGAAGACACTTGCTCTGTCGTGTCTGGCGCACTCGTTGTTGCTTCATCGGTGACCGATGCCTGACGCTTCCTTATCTGACTGCAATCCATTCCTTCTTGTTCCTCATTGTCAGGAGGCTTGTCCTTAAGGCCTTCCAAGTGGTGTTCGTCAGCAGCATTGCATTCATTTATGCTTTCACTGGCGTCGTTAGCGGTGTTATTTTGCGTTCCAAGGGTATCCGTGGACATGTGTTCCGCTTCCTTGAAGACACCTTCTGCTCCTCCCGCTGCTTCTCCTGTCGCATCAACTACCTCAGTGACATCCATAAGATGATCGAGACGTTGGTCTTCTGTCCCTTGGCCAGAACGGAGTTTGTTGGCATAAGTTGACACGCAGGCATCCGACGAGTGACCAAAGCGCTGGCATTGCAAGCACCTCGGTGTTTTGCACTGTCGTCGTACATGCCCCACTCGCTTGCACCGAAGACACAGTGGAGGCCTACCGGGAATAAGTACGAGGCATTGGTGGCCATAAATTGACATAAGGTGTGGTATTGAGCTCACAGTGATGGTGTCCTTGAGCTCCAAGGCAACGTCTCTATTTGTTGTCATCCATTGTTCCATTCCTGTACATCTCCATGCCTCTCTTTCAACGGACTTCACAACGCCGTAAGCTTGGAACGCCTCTTCAACACGTCGCGATTCAAGATGAGGCGGAAGCCAAAGTAGTTTCAGCCTAATATTCTTGGTCTCCGGATCTAGCACCATGCACTTCTGCCCTTTTACACGGAGCTCACCACAAGTAACGAGTTTATGTTTCGCCATGCTGTTTGCACACGTAACCATCCATACATGGCTCATTTGATACTGGCCAACTCCAATAATGTCCGCTGTGCTCACCACTTTAAGCAGCGCGTCACGGAAGTCAGGGGCACGGTACGGCCTACCACTCAAGTCGGCATGAAGGAAAACGGAATTCAAAACATCGTTACCGGTTGGAAGACGTGGCAGGACGACTTTATAGCTTGAGTCTTCATCATGAAACGGAGTCGATGATCCTCGGCCGTTGGCCGATACGCTGTTACCAGCAGAGAGCATTTTGGAACGCAGCCGATCGGTGCGGCTTCTTCTTCCTCTTCCTCTGATAGCACTCGGCTATCATTGCATGGTAGCACAGCATAGCCTATTCTAGTGTAGCATAGTACAGTATAGTAGAGTACAACAAGAGGTTGGAAAGCAAAGTGAGGCTGAGGGAAGGTGAGGGAAAGGAGGAGGAAAGAGAGTAAAGCAAAGTATAGAAAAAATGAGGAGCACATAAATAGAAATAAAGTAAGAAAAAGAAAGATAGATAAATGGAAGTTAATGATGGTGACATAGAAGCAAGTGAGAAAGAAAACTGAAGGTGATGAGGAGGAAAAGAAGGACAGGAAAAGCATAGCTCAAGCAGAACAAGGAAATAAAGAGAAACAATGTATAAAGAGAAAGCAAGAGGAAAAGAGGGCGACAAAAGAGATAGAAATGAAGAGGAAGCAAGCGAGAAATAGAAAGAGAAGGTGAGAAGGAGAATAAATAGGAAGAAAAATAGAGTAAGAAAGAGTATGATGTAGATAGGGAGTGAGACAGAAAGTAATAAAGAGAAATAAAGAGGAAAATAGACAAAAAATGGAAAGAGAAGAGAAAAAAGACAGAGCAAGAAGGAAAGAGAAGGCTAAAGATAAACAAAGTAAGCCACCTCACTCCGCACTCTCTTCAAGCTTGCCATGATTAGTGCGAGGGTGGTTTAATTTTTTTCTTCGCGCTTAAGTTGCATGAAATGTTTCGCTCTGAAGTTGCGGGTTCGGTATATATGCCTGCATTTATGGTTAAATGTCTTTCACTATGCCGACCACGAATAGCAATTAAAAAAAAGTTCCCAGAAGTGACGAGATTATATGAGGCTATTTACCGCGTTGTTGATCTGACGCTGCTTGACGATGTTTCCACATTTCTCTTGCACTTCGTCGAAAGGATGCACGCCGTTGTTGGTGCTGGCGAGCATCCAGTAGAGGGGGTACTTCAGGATGAACTCGAGTTCAGGAAAAGAGGCTGGATACGATGCCCGAAAGGAAAGAAGCAACCGTTAGTTCACTTAAACATTTAGCGATGTTGTAAAACGTTGAGACGTAATTAAAGGACACTTACGCATATGTGCTGACGGTTTATCGAACGTGTTCTGTCTTTTTAACCTTTCTTTCCACCTTATATATACCTTCCTCCTATAGCTTAGCATACAAAGACATGATGCAACGATTTCTGTAGAAAAACCCCAATTTATTTTGTTTGGCCACCCCTCCATGACAATCAAACATCATACTGCGCAGAGACACACCAACTTTAATGACATGCTAGAAATGTTAGCATCACTTATTGCCAAGCGTACTACTCCAAGTGCTGGACGATAATAGCAGCACGCGCACAATTTACAAACGTGATCCTAAAGAAACGCATAAAAAAAGAGCCATTGTTAAGCACACTGTCTTACTTCATGAAAGGGAACACGTGAGCGAGTGGCCTGCGCTCTGCAGCAGCTGCCCACAACAACATCATTCGACGGCTACACAGAGCACGCCCGCTTTTGGCGTCATCGCTCATTGAGTGACAGGAACGGGAGTGTAATCTTGCAGCACTTGTCTAACGACTGTGGCTCGTTATTTTCTTTGGCAACGGATGACACCCAAGGCGGACATGCTTTCTTCAGTTGCCGGTTGATGGCGTTGTAGGTAGCCACCGCATGGCGCAGGCCACGTGCTCGCGTGTTCCCTTTCATAAAGGAAGAGAGTGCATTGCTCAATATTACCGGAAACGTAGCGGCAGGCTTCCGTACGAGCGTCAAAGAAACTCCGCTCGAAGTTCAAAAATAAACAACAACAACAACAACAACAACAACAACAACAACAACAACAACAACAACAACAACAACAACAACAACAACAACAACAACAACAACAACAACAACAACAACAACAACAACAACAACAACAACAACAACAACATCAACAACAACAACAACAGCAGCAGCAGCAGCAGCAACAACAACAACAACAACAACAACCCTCTCGGTGTCAGAATAGCAGAGCTAACTTCAAGCAACTGGAATGACCACGCACTTCAGCATTCTTTTCGCTTAGTTTATGTACTGTAGGCGTCCCGACGTCCTAGTGCTGTTATCTCTCCTTCTTTTATTCTTGCAGTTCAGGGGTATCAACTGTAGGCCCAGCTCGTACATGACCATCTTTGTCCCATATTCTTTTTTTAAATTTTCATGACATACACAGATGTCACGAAAATCGTGTATTCCTTTTCGTGTGGCACCCCCGTGCGGTAAACATGTGTTAAAACATGATCGTGGAACAAAAACACTGCTTCAATGTCGTTGTCTAATTTCCGTCACTTTGAATATCCGCAGACCCAGATTCTCCGCGTCACGTATTGACAAACCCGACGTCAAACCTTCTTCATGCAGGACCCATACATGAAATATGGGAAACGCCTTGTTTATTTCAAATGACAACATTAGCTGACATGTCCGCCGCTGTGGAACAGTAGTTATACTGGCTGCAGGCCCGAAGGTCGCTTGTTTGATCCTGGCCCCAGGGGTCGCATTTCGATCTAGGTGAAATGGTAGAGGACCGTGTACTGTTCGATGGCAGTAAATGGTCAAACTTTCCAAGGCCTGTCACTACGGTGTCTCTCATAATCATGTGTTGGTTTTGGGACATGAAAGCCCAGGTATTATTACACTGAAACCTTTTATGAGATCACAAAAAGGGTCGCGCGCACCGTAGTTGTCCGCCGCCGCCGGTGTCCGTAACCACTATCACGCAAAATGAAAAAAAAAATGAAGTAAATAAAAACACAAAGGACACAATGGAATAGCTGTTGCTATGGAAGAGGGGAGAGCGGAGAGATAACACCTGCCGGCGCACGGACACCACCACAGACAACGCCGGATGCCTGACACATACTGACTAAGAAATGCATTCGCATTTAAAACGCTAAGTTGATGACGTCATGACAGTGTTGGTTGCGAGCGCTACCTCACTGCGTTTGTTCAATACAGTGGCTCGAGGTCGGCCTATCGTGCCACCACCGGAGCAGCGTCTGTGTGTTGTCTTGTGGCGCAATTCGAGACGTCGTAGGTGGTGCTACAGAGGCAGCTGTCAGCCTGTACTAAGACGAGCAACAAACCCATATCTCTGCAAACCACAGGTCGCATATTATTTCCAAAAGCGAGTAAAACCGGGCTATCGCTCCACAAACTGGTTTCACCGCGTTCATCTACGGCATTTTCTAGCTCTGCGTGTTCGAACAATAAGTCACCGAAATTATGAATCTTTCGCAGCAGTGAGCATACTGAGCCCATTCTTTTCTTTTGTGTTTGGGAGATCTGTGGATGGTCTGCCTTCCAAATCATGCTCACCGAGAAGAACGGAGATCCATGAGAAGGTTCCGCTGAAGAGCAGTCGGCAGCTGGCCAGCAGGCTGTGTTTAGGGTTCTTCTGTATGCTGTACTCGATGCCCATGGCGCTGCGGCAGATCACGTCCAGCGTCATCGCCTGGAACAAGTCGCCGATCTCGAACTCCTCGCTGGAGCGCGCGTGCTCGTCGATCTTGTCTATAAGCTCCTGTATGGTGCATATCATGCCAGGAGCCATCTGCGAGCCGCGTTAAAACTTTAGTGGACGCCTTGGCAAGTTGGTGCGCGGTACTTCAACATTGCAGCAGTGGAATCGAGAGGCTACCAGTAAAAGGACGCTGACACATGGCACAGCAAAGTTGGACAACGTATGCTTTATCGAAAAAAAGAAATCCATTTTCTAACGCAGGTTCGCGAACCCAGGGTGTACGCTGCGCAGTAAGGGTGTGGTTTGGCGGAAAGCTTTCACCGCCTCATTGAAATTGAAACTTGACCTGGTACCGCGTGGCCGTCAAAGGTCGGCGGCGTGAACGCGAGTGATACGAAAATCATCATCACGGGATGACGTCAAAATATGACGTCACGGTGCCTCCACCGGCTCCGCGATTAGTCCTCCGATCGTGTATAATGATTTCATGTGACGACGTCCCATGACAGCATCGTTACATGACCTCATTGCTTGGTCGAAAGTGGGCCGATCTCGGAGGTAATGCAAAACAAAATGAAGGGCAAAAAGCTTACAGCGCCTCCGATCCCGGAGGCCTTGCAAAAACACGCTAGTTGCGGAAAGCTTCCGGACGGGGATGTCAGAGGTTACATACGTCCACTTAGAAATGAATAAATAGCATATGGCTCTCGCCTTCGATGCGACTGAGGCGGACGCGTAAGGGTCTTTGTGAGTTTTGGTTTATAATGTTTTATCATTTCATCCGTCTTAATTCATTTCGTAACAGGCTATGCAAGTATATATTCCGCGGCTGTGACAAATAAATGTAGTTGTGAGTCAGCGCTGCTGTCCGTGTTCTTATTTTATTGGTCCTTTATCTATACGTTGTTTTAATGTTATAGTGTATTAGAAAAAAGGCTGCACTATGGTAGCTCTTGAATGTACATTATGGACCGATAGCTGCAGTCGAATTTCAGAAACTATAGTGTTAATTCACAACGCTCTCTGCAATGCCTGTCGTTGCGAAGAGACGCTACACCACATCCCGTGTGACTGTCCCTTGTATGACATCCAGAGACAGTCACTGGCGTCCGTTCTTGCGCGCATCGACAACAGCCAAACGTCTGTGGACACTATTCTGCCAAGTGCCCGAGAGAAGACATTGCAACAAAAGGCGACAAAAGCTCTGTTGAAATTCCTACGCGACACGGACTTGAACAAGCGGCTGTAACAGCAATGTCACACACCGCGAAAGACAAGACTGGACTATGACTAAGTGTTCGCGCATGTGCTGCTGAATGTGCTGTGTTTATCTCTCTTCCCTCTCTGCTCTCTATCTTTCATCTCCCCCTCCCCCTCCCATGCGCAGGGTAGCAAACCGGCTGCCTATAGGCTGGTTAACCTGCCTAGCTGCCGTTATTTTCCTCCTATTTTCCTTCCTTCATAGTGTTGATTCACGATTTGTTGGAATCATGACAGTCGTCATGGTAACCGTTAGATCACATGGTGATGTGGCGCTCACCACGTGACGGTCATTTTGGGAGGAGCGCACGGTGGTCTTTATATTAGAACATAGTAAAAAGCTTCAATTCTCCAGAATTATGAGGAGATTTCAGTCGGTGTTGCCTGTCCTGACAGCAAAGTTACCCTTTGAACTTGGTCTGGTGAACGCCATGACTGCTTTCTTGCATAAATTAAGCTCCTACATAAAGCAGGACTATTGAGAGATACCGATTTGAGCGAACTATTTATTATTAATTAAATATACCTTACAGGCCTAGATGCATTGAGTAAGTGGAGTTGCATTAAAATCAGAAGAGAACTTATAAAGAACAACCTGGCAGTGCAACTTCATAATATAAACAAAGTAAAACGCAACAACACAACAATGCAATAAACCAACGTGTTAAAAGTGCAGGTTACAGCACATTATTGAAAAAAAATCGCGATGATTTGCAAGGTGACAAAGCTTGAAAGGTAAACGATAAAAGTAATGTTACTACGCTATATTCCGAAAATGTGCGTCAAGTTTGTGCTGAGGCGTGTTAATGCGTGAGGTAATGTCATCGGGAATGTAATTCCACATACAGACGGCTTGCGGTAGTACAGACGTGTTAAACGAGTTTTTGTTACCAAAGTTGCGTGTGATATTGACATGATCCTGCTCTTGATGTGTGGTTATGCAGCTAAATAGCATCAGCGGGTCGTCATCTCTACGGCAGCACTGCGTGCATCGTGCGCACGGGGAGGTGGCAAAGAGGGGTCACCTATTAGGGGTGGGGGTGCAAATGTCAACCCCATACATTGACATAGTATGGATGAGAGTGCCGTGACTGATATGGGGGTGGGGCGGAATCAGTCGTATACATTGACAAAATAAGGAGAGGGGGTGCTTGGCCCCCCTCCCATTCGAAGGGGAGCCCTCCGCACGCCTATGGACATCAGGGAAACACTGTACGATTGCCGCTGTTCTGGCACCGTAAGTCCAATCGCCATCGCCGCAATAGCGACCGCATTATATGCGAGACGGTTCATCTTCAATATCCGATCCGGATAATTGCAAGAACCCGAGAGTGCGAAGGTATTTTGCTCTTCTAAATATACGTGTTTCAGTTTTATTTAGACGAATCAACAAATTTTACTCGGGTTTGCATTGACGGCAGCGTTGCATGCCTCTACCTCGCATGCAAGCATTTCCGACTGCTATTCGAATGTCCTTCGCCTTTTCCGACCAATACAGTTCAGGCAGCCAGTGAAAGCTCATCGTGACGTAATGGTATTTCCCTTCGTTTTCACACTGCCTTTAACAGACGCTAAACCGTTCTAATATGAATCACGTTAGTGAGAAATTATACACGCTGGCGAAGAAAAAAAATAACGTGACCCACGCATTTTTACTCACCATCTTAAGCTTATTGGTTGTAAATGAGGGCGTCAGCACACTGCGAACTTCCTTCCAGCGTTTTCCCGTAAGTTGGATTAGGGACTTGTTGTGGGGACTTGGCGGACGCTTGCTTTGAAACAGAAGCTGCAACAGAATATTAAAACGAAAGAAACAAAAAAATAAAACCACTCATTTGCGTGTACATAGGCTCCATTTCTTTTTTTTTGCTTAAAGTAGTTTTTAAAGGTCAACTTCCAAGCTCTTCCTCAATGTGTTTGCCTAGAATATCAAGTCGGACGCCCGGGTAACTGCATGGTTGAATTGGGCCGAATTCTTATATCGTTCATTTTTGCCATTGGCTAGCTGTTTCCGCTGTTCAGTGTCAGGATTGGTTGAAAATTTCTCTAGCACTCATTTTGTAGACTCGCAGGTATCTGAGAATAAAATCCCAAATTATCGCCATCTGATTGCACTAGTATGACGTTTGACGCAAGTGAACGATTCAATTGCACTAGATCGTCAGGTAGTGTTCTCCCTTTTTCGAGACACTCTAAATGATTACAAGAAAAAAAAATGCGTCACCGACGCTGTGTTTGGGAATCATAACGAGAAATGGAGATGTATAGCGTCTAGTTGATATACAAGCCGTGCTGCTGATTTTTATAACCAAGTTAGCATTGATTACGTTAAAGAATGATGAAGAAACACTAAGAAGGAAATTGATTTTTTAGCGTATTAGTAAAGCGCAGTTACACAATGCTGAAAACGCCACTCTTACTCTGAGATGATGCTCGACGTTGAATATTGCGTAGACAAAATCCAACGTATTGATAATTGATAAAAATAAAATGCATTCTCATCAACGGGAGTGATAGACCCAACATACGAAGTTTCAAAAAATTTAATTGAGCTGGTGTAACAAAAAATATGAATGCTTGACGCAATGTGCGTAAATTTTAAATTCAAAATGAAATTTTTGACCGCGTGAGTTTCTTCTTTAATAATCGACTTCTGGTGGGGAAACTTACGACATTAAAGTTCTGAGATAAAAGTTAATCAATCGACTCCAAGTCATTCCTTCACTGTAGAGTCATTTTAACGAAATCAAACGATATCAGCGAATTAAAATCTAAGGATAAATGCCAAAAAACATACGCCTCGGTCAATAAAATCTTGGAAGTCCTTGACTTGAATCATCTTCAGCAAATCGAGGTCAGCGACGAGCAATACAGGACGGGAGCCGTTGAAATAGCTGCCAAAACAAAAAATTATATATCCAATATAACATCGTGGTATCACTAATGAGTGTTAGTTCAGGCGCATAATTTAATAGGTGTGGCCAGAGGTATACACGAATTAAGTAAACGCGCACTCACCCAACTACTTTTCCGTACTTTTCTATCCACTCCCTGTAGGCCACGGTAGGTGTCTGCAGCGATTACATAACAAATTATTATTATTTTTTTGACTTGGGCAAAATGGTCAGTGTGAGAGCCGTCAGCGCAATTTATCAAACAGTCTGACAGTACGTGATGCAGTGTCAATGTGGATGTATGACCGGGTGCGACTAACATGGCCCACTACAGAAGTGCTATAGAAGTTGCTATAGAAGTTGCTATAGAAGTGCTATAAAGTTGCAAAAGAAGTGCGTCGTCCTGAGTGCCTCTTATTTTGTGTGACGTGTTAGTCACGCACCCTCTTACGTCATAACCAACACCATCTCGCCCTACATTGTACTTCACAGTGTCAAGTGTCAGTAATCGGCTAGATCTGGATCTCTGCGTGTCTCCCTTTACTAATCATTAGCGCAGCCAGGGAGGGAGATTGAAAAAATTCTCAGTTTTTAAAATGTTTCGGCTTTTGTAGGCATACATACAGGTTGTTTACTGCCCCCCTCCTCCTCTCACTTGTTCGCCCACTCATCGTGCCACCAGTTGTACGTTAGCACATTACAGAACAGTGGCGGGGCTCGAAAACCCATATATATATATATATATATATATATATATATATATATATATATATATGCATAAGGGGTAGTGACCCCCCCCCCCACCTTTGCATACAAAAAAGTCTTGGCTGCGCCATCTGATAATGAAATCAATGGCAGAGAAACCATCAATGGCAATGGAAATGGCAAAGAAAACCATCAACTCGATAGAGATCAGTGCACCTGCCGGAGCCTTGGTTCGACAGGCCTCCCCTTGCACGCCCAAGAATCACCGCGTTGAGTTTCATCGCAATAGCCGCTGCTCTGACCGATGTTTCCTTACTCCCGCTGATTGTAATCAATTGCATATTTTTTTTTCTGAACTATAGAACAACGAAAAGTGTAGACAAGGGTATGTGCTGCTCACCTTCTCACGAAGTTCGGTCATGTTGCCCGTGATGATGCTCGGCTCTGGTCCCGGAATGCCGAGCTCCTTGAAGTAGTTGAACAGCTGCTTTCTTTTCCTGTTCCAGGCAAGAGATGACCCGTTCCGAGCGAATTATTCAGTGTGCCATGCGGCGAGGTATACTTCGTAATTATCGTGATGAGGAGACCACGTGACATGGACTTTGACTGCTGCCGCAAGAGTAGCCTTTTTTGGAACTCTTTGTTTCGATAGGTTCAGCTGATGGAATGCAGTGTTCGCTATCTCAGCGCACCATCTGATGTCCGGTCGTACTCTAGCTCCCTATTGTTCCCTTTTATTTATCAAGTTCAGCTTCCTAAAGGATATCATATGCTGTCAGAGCACCGCAAAATTCTAAAATGCGGCTGTTTACGCTTGGCAAAACTGGAAGTAGAAAGGTGAGCAGAAGTGATGCGAGGGTGAGGAGAATGGAAAGAAAGAGAAACATGGTGTCCACATCACAAGCACCAGATGACATTTGCAGCGAAACACGAAGATACGCTGCCATCTTTTTTTTTCAGAGGACCCCTCGAAATGTCTTTGCAGATCCCCTGGAGTACGTGGATCCTCGTTCTAGAACGTCTGTTCTGCAGTGTAAGATAACTAAGAGCGGCGAATCCCTACGGGAATGAGGAAGCTTAATGTGAGGATGAGGGAAGGGAAGACATGAAAAACGAGGCATAGCCAGTATAAGGCACTGTAGCTAGGGGGTGGGAAAGGGGTTTGAGGATGTGGAAAGAGAAAAAGGAAGACGAGAAAGTGTGAAGTATAGCCATTTGTAGTAAGGTATAGCGATTGGATGAAAACGATAGTGATCGTAAGAAGGAAAGGGAAAGGCCACCAACTCCGTTGTTTTCCCAGATTTTCGCTTCGTCAGTGTGCTGTTGCCCCGACTTTTTACCGAATTATCAGCTGGCCGCGCTTACCTAAACTGATAATTTGACATCTTTACCTATTACGTCAATCATCCTAAATTTCCTTCGATCACCGTGAGATAGAGAAATAAAGTTTTTTTCATTCCATTCCATCGTGAGATTAAGGGTCTCCTTTTAACCGTCTTCATTAGCCCCTATGTGGTAGATTTGGTTTGATGACACTGGTAAAAAACGATCAGTTTTTTTTTTCTTCTTGAGAATATTCAATTGGCAGTCAAGGCTTACAAATGGCAGTTCGTAGACTAAAACGCTTCTGCGAAGCCCACTGCAACCCATGCACTTGTTAGTTGCCTCTTGCGCGCAGGCCCGATAGATGTCGCTAGCGAGTGTCGGTACGCGTTACTCACATGTACCAGTGGACCAAGAGAAGTATGATGGTAGCAGCAACAAGCTGCCACAGGGCATGTGCCAGGTCCATGATGCCGTGGCAACTTTATTGCTCTGCAAAGGAAGGGCATGGTGACTGCTGAATAAATGCAGACGACCCGGCGGATACACCACTGTAGTTATCAACTGAATCGAGAATGAACTGAAACAAAAGCATTGCAATACAATTTTTTCGAGGGCTAGTTTTAAAAGCAGTGGTACAACCTACAAAGGCAGTAGCCTAGAAGGCCATATACGCCTGAACCCTGTGATACGACAGCGTGGGTCAGTAAACAAACACGGGAGGTGACTCTGGCACACTGAGACTCACATCGGCCCATGAGTTTTGGTTCGAGTGAGCCCAGCTCAGACTAGGTTCGACGCCTTTGACTTCATTCTTGATCTCAATGCTCACAATAAATGACAAGACGAAGAAGAAGCAGTGTTGCAGATCTGGTAGTTTTATCTTTTTTTCATTTTGTCTTCGCTAAGCGTGCGAATCGTGATCGTGAATGAAGTCATAGCAATAGCCCGCCATTACGTCTTACTGGAGTCAGAGCCCTAGTGAGCATAGCACCTTACAGTGTCGGTAATTCTCAAGTGAGCCCGGCTGAGCACTATTTTTGCCTAGTGAGCCACGAAGAGAGACACTCAGTATACATTTCGCGAATCTGTTTTCTGTGACACCTAATCAAAGCCCCCGTTGCAGTACCCGTTGCAGTACCCGTTGCAGTACCCGTTGCAGTGCCCATACCAGTTGCAATGTGTATTGTCGGATTGTATTTAATTTGCGGACGTTAAGGAAAACCGCTGTAAAGATGCAGCGGTGGATGAACTGCGATGTGTTGCGCCGCGGTTATTACACGTGTGTAGAGAAAAAAAAAGAGTCCAAATGAGGACGATAGTTTGTGGGCTTCGTTGTCGTGGTCGTCCGTCTTCATGGCTGCCACTTGCGACCCTCACCTTCCCCTCCGTTCGAGCAAGAAACGCCACATCGCCCCTCCCCCTCCTCCTCCCGAATTTGGTTCACCATGAAATAAACAGCGAAAAAAGACCATTTCAAGGGTTGCCCCGACCCCAATTCCACACACACACACACACAAAAATCATGCTTACGTCTCTGCTAGATCTAGCTAGTCGTGGCTTGGTGAGACTTGTTCCCACTCACCTATATTTTCGTCTTTTCCTTCCTTTTTTCTCTTTCTTTTTTTCATTTCTCTCTCTCTGCATTGAGTTTGCACTCTTCCTTTCTCTCCTCCTCCCCCACAGTTTCATTCACCACCCTCTGCTATATTATACTATACAAGGTTACGTTATGCTCTGCTACAGCGCCTGGATAGCCGAGTGGTTACGACGCTGGTATTCCGATTATGGCTAGTCGAACTAGAATCTCGCATCGCCGAGGAATGTTTTCACCAAAAGTTTCTTTTTCTTTTCGAGTCTCAGTCTGTTTGTGGATTTTTTCTCTTGCTCATCAGAGTTATTGGTGCCCCGGCATGGTGGTCTAGTGGCTAAGGTACTCAGCTACTGACCCGCAGGTGGCGGGAGCGAATCCCGGCTGCGGCGGCTGCATTTTCGATGGAGGCGGAAATGTTGTAGGGCCGTGTGCTCAGATTTGGGTGCGCGTTAAAGAACCCCAGGTGGTCGAAATTTCCGGAGCCCTCCACTACGGCGTCTCTCACAATCATATCGTGGTTTCTGGACGTTAAACCTCACATATCAATCAACACCCTAGTTGGTCCGAGTTCGAGTCACTTATTCTCCTCTCTTGAGCTCTGCAACTCGTAGCCGATGTGCTTCAACACGTCATGCATGCGGTGCGTGGTTATCTGTACAGTGCCCAGCCTTTGTGCTAATATGTAGTCACGCTGACCGGAAACTTCACGATTGCCGCCACCGATGCGCTTGCGGGCTTCATTAGAATGCTTCGGTTGCACAACATGCTTGTCAATACAATAGAGGCACATAGGTTTACAGACGCGCAACACCCTTGTCTCGAAGGGAGATAGGCGCATATGAGCAGGGAACCACTTCGTCTTTGCAACAGTGTGAGGCAGTGCATCGCGATAAACTGTTTGCTCAGGGCAATCTCTGCGACGTAGTTTGGAACAATTAGGCGGGTTTTTCTTGTCGTCTTGTTTATACCCCCCCCCCCTTTCTTTTTTTTTTTTCGTCGCTGCATGTCAAATGTCACGGGAGCGAATGAAACGCACTTCAGTGCCTCTAACACCAGAGTGCCGTACGTTATTGCGCGGGGAAAAATGTTTAATTTCACGCATGCTTTTATAAAATGTAAACGTTAGAGGTTCTTCGCGCTATTGCGAGATTGCAGGCTTTCGCGTCAGCCATAACTATGGTTAATCTTTAACCAATTAGGTGAGGTTTAGCAAAACACGCGCTATCTTCATTTAGTAAGCCCCACGCGTCGCTACATATTTAGCTTAGGAATCGAAGCAGTGTGTGGTATACTTTCAAAGAAAGCGAAAGGCTGAAGTTTCGCCGTGAGCTATATTCTCTTAGGATTCGCAGACTGTTTATTTGTTCAGTGGTGTCCCATCTATGTTTACTTTTTACAGCTATTCTTTGCAGATTCACATAAGGAATTAGTTGAACTTCGGTATTGACTTTTTTAACAGTCAGTTGTTCTCATTAGGAATGTACTGTACTGTACAATGCCGCATACCATTAGCGCATACTACTTAGTCCGAGACGTGTGCAAGGTGCTCCGGCAGGGGAGGCGACATCTCAACGAAGGCCCCATGTTGGTCGGGTCCGACGGAAAACGAGCACTTCAACTCATGCACAAAAGTGGATACGAAGGGACCTTCTTACAACGGCCTGTCTTCGGTCCCCTGCTTTGCGGGGTTAAAGGTGGGAGGGGAAGAATGCTTGGAACCAATCATCGAAGACTGACATTGTCGCCAAAAAACAGCATGGCCCTGCACATTAAACAAGAATGGGAGAAGTCCGACTGACTTGCCCCCCCCCCCCCCCCCCTATTTGCCTGCACCTTGCCCCTTGGAGATGATTATTGAGGGTGTCATCCCCCTCCTTCGGAGATGCTTGGTGGGTTTCGTGGCCGACGGTTGTCCCGTTCGTGGTGTCTGTCCTCTCTTAGACGACTGCTCGACGATCGGTGCCCCGTCCGCAGGAGTTCCATAACCACCTCCAAATCTTTTACATTTTTCTCAGTACTTTTACTTATCTATCGCCCTTAATCCGTCCCTATACCTTCCCTGGTTAACTACTGCTGAAGTGTGTCGCACTTTGTTGCAGAAACTTGCCTTGTTTCTTTTTCTTTTCAATCGTCTTCTTTTAAAAAATCCTCCCCTCCTCCTTTTTTTCCTCCTTTCGCATGCCTACTGTGACAACCGCAAAGTGAAACGCGCTTTTCAAAAACACTTGTGTGTTTGCTTCGCCTTTGTGCCGTGGTGGCATAGGTGAAGACAGCGTCACAGGAGTATCAGCGGCCCTTGACATTGTTCTCTGACTATATACAGGCTGAGTTGGGCGCCCGCAGCAACTCTGCGGACGCAGCCTGCCATTGAACGCAGCCGTCCAAACGTTTCCAAAGGCAGGCTGCGCACGGAGATCTGCTGCGGATGCTCCACTAAATATGTCCAATCAGACGAAATGCTGGCGTTTGGCGTGCCGAAGCGACCGTACCATTGCGGTACACGCCGTAGTCTAATGCACCGTATAATTACAGCCACCGGGGGTATTTCAACGCGCACTGAAACCACACAGCACATGGGGTCTTTAGCATCTCTCCCTCATCAAAAGTCGACCGCCGCGACTGTGGGATTGAATGCGCGTCTTTTGGGTCAGCAGCCAAGTACAACAACCAAAGCGATAGCGTGGTGGCTTTTCTTCTTACTGTAATAGATGTACACCGTAGTTGCGGTGATTGAAGGCAAAGTATAGCTAACATTTCTTTTTTAGGTAAAAATATTTTACCAAAATTTACTATGAACCTGTGTGTAAAACTGAAAAAAAAACAAAAAAGAATTTTTTTGTTTTACTTTTTCATGCATCTGTTCACCAAATTAAGGGTATGCGGAGTTAGGTGGGAGAGATTTGAGAATCACATCTGTGCTGCTTCGGCCAGAAGAGAGGCTGCATATGCATGGTCGATCAACTTTGGGCAGCTCGGAAAGCCCGCAATGTGACCACCTGTCTTAGCCTGCCGGTCTCAGAGGGATCCCAAGATGGGGCAACGCACCTCCTTGCTGGGTGTCAGGTTTTCACACAGTAGTGGTGGTCAACAGTTCTTCATTGAGCAGCTGGCTTGTTTAGATGTCCTAATAGAGTGATGTACAATCAAGGCACATTTTTCCCCAAGTCTCCACCAACACAGGGCTGCTTGAGAATCGCGCCTATAACCTGGTACTCAAGAGCCAAATGCACTTGCGACCATAGAAATTATGCCGGATGACACGCCTAATTATGACAACATGAAAAAAAAAACATGCAACACGACATGCCACGACACATGCAAAATCCAATGACAAACGCATGACGTGACATGTGGCTTGGACGGACAAGACTAGTAATATGACCATGAAGCTAAGCGATAGTAGCACGTTCTAGCAAAAAAAAAAAAAAAATGAACAGGAACTTCAGTATTACAGCCGAGGCTTACTCAAACAATGATCTGGTCTTGGTAATGAAAGCAGAATGTGTCTTTCGTAATTACCTACTCTCTTATAGATACAGAGTGAAAAAAAATGGTGGTACACTCATCCACATCTCTTTGTGTGCGGATCGATTCATAGAGAATTGTACAGTTTCCAGGTCAGTAGCTATCGAGAGCAAGTGCGGTGGTGTGATGCAGAGAGCGGAGAGAAGTACAGTTAGTCCATTTCTGATCGTTAACATTCTGTGCTGCAGTACATGGGCCCTGCTGCCTTCGGCTGTGTAATCACTCTTGCATCGGTTTGTTCCACAGTCACTGCAAGCATTACTTCCTGCGAGAGTATAGTTTCGGTTTAGAGTGTCACTGGCCATGAGGAGAAGAGGTAGATAACCGTTTAAATTAGACTCATGTTGCACATGAATTGTACCAGGATAACTTTTCAGCGCATCCGCCTTCCACAGGAGTAACCCGAAAATTACTAGGATGAATATGCAGGCAACGGTAGGTACTACCCGTGTTTTAACCGCTAAATTGGGTGCTGAGGTAATGGAGCCTGCACACGCGGCTTCATTGAACAGGCTACAGTGCGAGTTAGGTCTCTCGTACTAATAGTTATGATGACAACTGAGGCGCCGTAAAGTAGTTGAACTTAAGAGATACCTAAACTAAGACGAAAAAAAAAGCTACGAATTCGGTAGCTCACTTACCGGGTTCACGAAAAATTGAAAGATCCTGAGTCTTTTGTTTCGAAATTCGAGCCGTTGTTCAAATGGCGCGGCAATCCACGTTTCGGAAGACGCGCAGCTTTTGAAGCTATTACTACTAGTTGCTATAAACTTCTAAAGTAATTAAAAGAATGAGACTTGATGATTGTAGGAATAAAGAAATATTCAAAAATATTCAAAATATTTTAAAAGAAAAACTGCTCACGGTTTATGCCGAAATCGTTTACAGTTAACGCACATAGGTGAACTATGCAGCCACCGAACTAGCAAACCCTTTCTGCCTTAACGCTGAGCTCGTCAGATTGAGCGTTTCTCGACGTCGAATCTCTGCGGAGAGCGTGGGAATCCACTTAATATAGCTGCGCTTGCTTATCGTCCGTCTCACTCTATCAATACCTGGCTCGTGACTCGTTATCACGTGGCCATTTGTAAGCATACGAAGCGGCCGCATCATCGGCGAGTTGATTGCAAGACCCCTGTACGGCGCTCACACTCGACCTCCCTAGTGCGCAAAGAAAACAATCGAGTCCACGAGTACGCGGATGCACCTGACAAGTGCCCCGCCCGAGGGCAGGCAACCTTCCTCCCGATGACGCGCCCCAAGAATCTTTCTTTTTCTTGACTCGTTGCGTGTAATAGTAACGGGCAGTATGCAAGAAGTCGCACTCTGACAGCCAAAACAATACTTAAAACCATTATAGTACAGCATACACTTTTTATTTACTTGACCCATTCCTCGTCAATAAATGAGACAAGCGATGCCAGAGGTAGTTAGGCTGAACTGTCCCATACGCCTGTATTTTCGGATGTATCTAGTCTGATTATACCATTTTTAACAGTCTTTTTGGGAGATTCTGCTCTGGGTAAAGAGAGGCGTCCATCATTATAACTGCCACCATCACCTGTCTCCATTAATTTTTGTAATGTCTTTATTAAAGATTTGAAAATAGTAATGCATGATAATTATGTAGACGTATCGTGTATAACAGAAGCTATGATGTGTGTTTAGAGGTGGGAGGAAAGAATAAGTATACACGAGACAGACTGACAGAGAGTGGATAAACGCATAACACGTAGGATGTTCAGCTGTGGAGCACTTTTTTCGACCTCTGTTGCTCCAGATACAACAAGCCTGACATTCGTAACCTCTATTCGGAGCCCAGCCCTCTTTATTACGAACATGGAAGGACGCCATTAAGGCTACAGCGTGATTGCGGTCACCATTGGTAAATGAGAATGACTTTAAATGAGACTTTTCTAGAGAGTAGCTAGAAAAATATGGCCTCCAGAATTCACTTGCGCGACCGAACGGCAACAATTCAATGTCGCAGAAGAACGTAACTAATTTGGGACTATTTCGTTGTACTGCTAAAGTGGTGCAAAAAGCGATTGGAAATATCACCCGAAACATTATAATCACTACCCTTCTGTGAGCAGCTGTTAATCGTGATGAAATTTTGTAGCCAAGAAAAACACACTTCTTGTTGCTTTGTTTTGAACGGTTGTATCTAGGGTTTCATTGTGATTCGAGAAATATGGTGACTGTTGTGCGCAGACATTGATAAACTATGTATCACATCAAAGGTGTGCATTAAGCTGCATTTCGCGAACCGAGATTTGCACAAATATTATTTGACATGTCAAAAGGGAAGGAGCAACGCCACTTGTTCTGTTCAAGACATGTGAACGAAGTTTCAACGTTGTTATTGCTGTTGTGATTACGGTGCACGGTAATAACATTTTTGTTTTTTGTTTTGTGTTTTGTGATTTAGACATTATCATGGCTTATTTTGTGACATTCAGTGTGAAAAACCCAGCGCGAACTGAGATGAACCGCAACGAGTAGAAGAGGCGAGCGCTGAATCACGCCTAAGTGGCGTCTTGGTTTGCACCGAAGTTCTCACCTTAAATGCTGTGTACCAGCTGGTCCCAAGAGAAAGCTTTAATTAACGTCTGAGACGTTGGATCACCGGATGAATTTCGAAGCAACGGCCATCCTTGAAAGCGAGCCGAACTGGAGGAGAAAATTATTACTCGAGTTGTGGCACATACAGAGGACAGCCCATAACATCAACCACTCTCTCGGAACCCTTCCCCTAGTGTATTCACATGAACTGCGCTCCACGGCAAAACGAGAGAGAGTGAGGAAGGGGTCATTATCGGCCACGCGAATGCTTTGAAGACGCCGCTGCTATGTAGTCCCGCAGTCGCCCCTGAGGAAGGAACCAAGTTGGTTTCGAAACGTCGGGTTTCTTCAGAACTTTTGGTTGAAGTCTAAATCGTCTCCCAGTTTCATACCCAACCAGACAGACTTCTGTAGAATGTTTTCTCTCAAAACAGCAATTAAGTAGGGGCCCCCGCGACCCGAAAGATCATATGGGCTACAGCTCACATGGGCCTCGAAGGCAATGAAACTGCTGACACCATCGCCCACACGCTCACTCTCCGGATAACACCTTCAGACCCTTCCGAAATGAATCTCGAACCCAATCCAGCCTTAACGTTTCGAGAAATCACTGAATTTTATCAATTTGGCCATTCAATTTATCCTGAACCCTGTAAGAGCCTTACAAAGGCGGAGGATTGTTTACTCCTCCACCTTCACACCAAAACACTGCTGTGCCTGGCAGTTTTTGAATATCTCGATCCTGCCTGTACAGGAAAATGCCCGCACTGTGCGGAGAAGTCTTCGGACATCTTCCACACGGTGTGGGCATGTCAGTCGACCCCTAGCCTCACCCCAAAAGTGAACCTCACCCGGGAGAACTGGGAGGCGGCCCTGCTCGGCTGCTCCGACCTGGCGAGCCAGAAGGCCCTGGTCAACCGAGCCTGAGTCTCGTTAGACGCCAATGGGCTTCTGCAATGAGGAGCTCATCTATTGTTCGTGAGGGGTAGCTCGCACCGGGCCACCTCCCACATACTCCCTGTATATAAATAGAATAAAGTTTTTTTATCGCGCTCTCTCTCTCTCTCTCTCTCCGCCTCAAAGGGCCCTTAGAAACCCTCAACATATTTTGCAGTTTTTTACCCCAAGGAAACATTCATTCATTCATTGGTTCATTCAGTGCATCTGTTCTCTTAAATGCGCAATTGGATGAAGGCAGTGTGCAAAAGCAATGACGTATCGAGTGTATCACACAATCAACTGCATAGTCACTCATATCCGTTGTGTTGCCTTGTCACGTCAAGTGACACACGCACACATGAACATACAGTAACCAGGGCTAACACTGGTACACACCAGTTGAGAATAAACACTGCTCTAGATTTAGCATTCAATGCCAACACGCCTAGGCTGCGCAATGTAAATCAGAAAACGCCCATTCGTCCAGCTGCCTGTGACTTTGCTGAAGAGCACAGACCAAGGGCGCCATGTTGCACGCGGGTCGGGTTCGCGCAGATAAAAACCGCGAACGTGCAAACAAATGCGCGACCTCGCGCTCGACGATAATGATGACGCCACGTTTACAAATGTGAGCCATCAGTTGGACTTACAGTTTCGAACACTCACTCCGATAATGAAGGAAATTGTTTGCAATACGAGCAAACACACTTTTGTTTTCCTCTTTCATATTGGCCTCGCAAAACTTTTTTAGCATGGTCCAAAAAGCATGGTTCACGGAGTTTTAGCATGGTTCGCTGAGCAAACTGGGGATTAAAACATAAAAAAGAAGCTCTGCTTACAAGAAATAACACTTAGTAGTATTAAAACCAGCTACGAATTGTTATTAACTTGCCCAGTTTTCAATACAACTCGGGGCTTGAGAGTTGCGGATTTGGTGAGGGTCATTGATCTTTAGGACAGTGTACTCTCTTTGTAGGAAGTGGGAGAACACTTCCAGCTAAGCGTATCTTTCTGATACTATCACCCGAAAAGGAACGTCGTTTTTATGCTTTTCATTGTTTCTGATTTAATCAGCTGTGAGTTTGCGTGCGTGCCGTGTGTTTTTTTTATTGGTCATGTATGAGTTGCGCCAAAAACAATCATATTTCAGCAAAATTTACGCTACGCCAGGTTTCGAATTATAGAGTGTCAAAGTCTGCGAGGCTAATGAAGTACAATCCATACATATTGTTTCAGCAGTTATAAAATAAAATTGACATTTATTTGAATGATATCGAGGTGATGAAAACTAGTATAGCAAGGAAATGGTTCAAGAAGACGATATTCATGCTGCCCTTTTGCAATGGGTGCTTTAGGCGAAGTTAAGCGATAATCATCAATAATCGAAAGTGCCGAAGGTGCTACAAATGGCTTGCACCGACGTCACCGAAACAGTCGCGTTGGAGCGCCAACACAGGGAAAACGCAAGCTTTGTGATGCCTTGTTAATATTATTAGTAAAACGCATGCTAGTTTCTTCGTTATTTATGTGCAGAGCAGTTACAAATTGACTTTGGTATTTCTTCGAATGATACCGACATCACGCTTATCACCACATGGCATCAGCCTCGTAACGTTCCAAGGACGTCGTTATCGCACTGATGCAGGTTAATTGCCACGTGATCCCGTGTCTTGACGTCAATGAAGCGCACATGTTGGAGCCACGGTGCGTATACCCCGGCGTCAAGTGATTCATTGATTTATTGATTGATATGTGGGGTTTAACGTCTCAGAACCACCATATGATTATGCGAGACGCCCTAGTGGAGGGCTCCGGAAATTTCGACCACCTGGGGTTCTTTAACGTGCGCCCAAATTTGAGCGCACGGACCTGCAGCCTTTTCGCCTCCACTGACGTCAAGTGAAAGCTGTTAATTAAAATTGCTGTACGGCACCAATGCAGTGTGGTTACATGTTTACGAAGCTCTCTTTCACAAGATTTTTGCGCAAAAGAATGCTAGCGACAGCAAAGTGAGCGATGTTACGTGAACCGAGTTCCTGGTTTTAAGAAAGAATACGTTTAAGCGATGAAAAGTACTCATACTCTTGTTACACGGACACGCTAACCTGAATTACGACGAACCTCAGTTAACGTTCATTTCTTTAACTGCGAAACTGAGTGTCACGTGACTCACTTCACGCGAGGCGTTATCCTATGTTTGGGTCATGAAGCAAGCAGGAGCTTAGCCAGAAATTCTTTTCGGGGGAAGGGGGGGGGGGGCAGCTCCTTGTTTTTGGGGAGGGCACCTCCTTGAAATCGTCATTTTTCGCTC